CAGTGCTGTCAGGGCGAGGTAAGGTTGCTGTGATGTAGTGAAACATGAAGAGATGCACAAGAAATATTAAAAGCTTGACTGGGCAASTCAGCCTGTGTCAGCGATGCGCTGAGAACATCTATCATAGCYGAAGTGGTGCCCAGCCCGCACTGCCCTGGCTGCACGTTAGGGATGGAGTCAGATGGCTGCAGCGTAGCCCTTTTTCAGTGCCCCRTTGCAGTGATATGAAGTGCTAAATCTATTGATAGATAAGGTGTGTTTGCTAAATCCATGAACTGCACTGCATGGATTCCTGCCATTGCTTCCCAGAGCACTTTTAGTGATTTCCTGTGAACAGTTGTACTGACTGCATGGCTTTGAAATTCATGCCCCGTGTTTTTCTGATCTTCTAATCACAGGATTAAAATCTAGGTGTTACCTTAGGGGAAAATTGCCAAAATTGCATCTGTTTTTTGATGCTTAATATCCAGTGAGATAACTTTGTAAGAAATAAGAGATCATGACAAAATTATATCTATGTTGAAAAAGACTGTAAAAAGTTCACGTTGTTTCTTAATGTTATTTGCTCAATATTCATGCTTGTCATCTTGTAAAATGATGATGCTTCTGTTTTTCAGGCTATAACCGAGTTTAGGAAAGAGCAGAAAGGCTTGCAGGCATCATGTTTACTAGATCCTTGATTCTGATTTGAAGCTCTTAGCACTAGTCTTTTATCACTTTATATGTTAGAAAAACAACTTATAAAAGGCAAGAATGTTTGAATAAGTGTCACAGTTCATTGTTAAAATTCTTGTAGGTTAATCCTGGAATTGACTTAATTACAAAAAGAAATTTAACATTTACAACTTTCCTGGTCTCTGTAATAGTGGTTTGTATAATTATCAGCTTGTTAACAAGTTGGTAGGTTTCTCTTTCTTCTTCTTCTTTTTTTTTTTAACTTGAGATAGGAAAAATAAAAATTATTTGGATCTTTATTCCCCATAATTTCTGCTTTGGAATTTAGTTATGAAAGCTTCTTTACTATCCTAATAGAAAACCTAATAATCATTAATTTTATCCTCATAGGATCCCTCTAAAATAGAGAGTAGCTTAATTGTAGTTTAGTCGTACAGGCAGGGAACTATAATATCAGATGGACTGAATGGCATCACTAGGTCACACAGGAAGCCTGTGGTTGGGCTGAGAATTGAAACAAGCTCTCCCGGGTCTTGTTCTAGCGTCTCATCTTTTGTTTGTAGTTAAACCATTAATCCATTAGTTATTTTTAATTCTCATTTTCKGCTTATGTTATTCTGGGTTTCTTGTAAAATAAATAAAAGCTCCACAAAGCTTTAGAATAATCCCTGGTCTTCCTTGAAAGTGAAATTCAAACCAAAGCTGTTTTTTCCTATCAGATTTTTTTTCCTTACAGTGTTTTGTTTGTTTGTTTCTGTGAACTTCTTGGGTAAGTGGAGGCAGGAGATAGAAATAATGAAACTCTGTATCTTCATTGTTACTGAGCTCCCAGTATGAGCTCCCACATGTCCCAGACAAGTCTTATGGTATTTGCAACCCAATTTTCAACCATAGACTTTCTTTGTCAGGAGTGAAAGAAAAGAGGTGCACCAGAGCTGCTCATGATCCCATGAGCAAAGGCCAGCTGGAGAAACTTGAGTGTTTTTCCACTTTTAACTCAAAGAAACTCTATGGCATTTGGATGTCAGGAACTTGACTACCCCACCTTAGTGAGAGAGCTGCAGGAGACRGGCAGTGCCAGAGCTCACTGACTGAATCGGTCCATTCCTCATGGACAACTTCAACTTCTTCTCCACAGCTTCATCCAGTCTTTTTACACTGTTCTTGAACTTTATATAAATCTTTGCAGGCTACAAGTTTTGAGCTTGGATAAACTCCAATCACATATTCAGGAAACAAAAAATTTCCTCAAAATAGCCTCAAAATGTGCATATCGGGCTGCTTGTCATGTCTATGCACAGGAGATTGCAGCTAGCAAAGCTGTTCTGTATTGTATACAGTGTGGGAAAACCTCATGCTGTTCTAGCACCAGAGACTTCATTTCTTCCACTAATATTTACCCAGTGGATCAGTTAGTCTTGCTGCCTTTGATGCCCAACAGGTCTAATGTTGTTGTTAGACAAAAACACCGTTTTCTTCCATCTGCTTATTTCCAGTTGTTCTCGTTACTCTAGTTTCCTAAAAATATTTATTTCTTCCATTTCTTTATGGTGTATTTCACAAAAYACATTAAGGTTAAACAACAACTCTGTGCTGGCTCACTCCTCGGATTTAGAAAAGAATTAGAGTAACTTCTGAATATCCTGGTTTAGAATATTAGATATTTCAATAACTAATTATTTTCTAAATTAGATGCAAAGAATAAGAGTTGCTCCCCCCCTAAGCTGTGGAACTGTTGTGTCCTATTTATTTAAAGCAATTTATTAGATCCAAGCTAGTTCTTCAATTTAAATTAGTTATCTTTTGTCTATTATTGGAGACATCCATTTATATTATAATACCCATTAAAGTTCTGTAAAGTGCATTTGAAGTGTCAAAATACTGCAAATATTAAGTGCATATTCTATAAAATCTAGATTATAATATATTGCATTTCAGGAAGGAGAACTGGTGAACATCTTTTCAGGCATTTCTTTTAAAAAAAAAAAAAAAAAACACTTGGAGCATGGTCTTTGTTTGCTTTCCAGCGTGAATACTCCAGCAAACACGTTTACTTGTAAGAACATTTACTGAAAGAAAAAGTTATAAGCACATACTGCTGACTGCCGGCAAAATGTGAATTATGAATGTATATTATAAGCTCCTCTACTAAACCCCGAGTTCAGGAGAAATTTTTCAAAGACCAAAGACAAAGAAATATATAATTTGCACAATCAATCAAAATGATATGTTTTTAAATTGCAGGTATGGACATTGAACTAGCAATTTGTCAGTAATATGTCAAATATATCTGGAAAATGAAAAGTTAGTGGAAATAGATATGTGCTAAGAGAGAAATAATGAATAAGAAAAACAGTTTGGTGAGAATTCATTCCGTGCTGAAAGTTTCCTCAGCTGCGTTGTAGGGTACTTATTTGCAGTGTTATCAGGAATCCAACCATAGAAGAGATGCACAAAATAAAAACTACTTTTCATTGGGGAAAAAAAAAGTAATATGCTCATATGACTGTGATACCTGCAGACACTTAATAACTTCCTTTCTAGATAAGCCTGTTTTGGTAAAAATACTGTAATGTACATGGAAACAATCCCATTTCTTAGAAGCATCAATTGGCATTTTTCAGTTTTTCTAGTACCAGAAAGTCATGGGCATCGGTCCTCGAAGAGAGAACTGTAAAATAGCTTATTATCTGTCTTTTGGCCTTTTTCCTTTTCCCCAAATATTAGTCTTCAGACTAAAGGATTACGAACAAGTAAATCTGTTTGCTTGACTGAAGTCAAACAAGGGTTAAATGATTTAATGCCAGGTAATACAACACCATGAAGGTGATGCTGGGCATGAGCCTTGTGCCTTACGATAATGATGGTTGTGGTAACACGGCCTCCTGCCTGTTCCCACAGAATTATGTWACTGTTGCAAAGCTAATGCGGGTGACTCTGTGCTTGAAAAAGGGTTTCACAGAAATTATAATCCAAAGAAAATCAGTATTTGGTACATTTTTCTATATTTTATCTAGAATTCACAGAATGAGGTGGTTATAAACAGCTACGGCTACTATAGCAAATGATGGCTTAGAATATTCTTTCTTGAGAATGACTATTAAAGGAATGTAAGTAGAAGATAATATCTTTATATATTTTAATAAAAGATTTTCTTCTTTCTTTCCTAGCTGTTCTAGTAGTCAGTAAACCAATGATCATTCCCCAAAACTTTTGTGTCTMCTCCCATATTAGATATATGATGGAACTGAGACCATCATGTGTTTGCATTAGGTGCAGCTCTTCACCATATTTCTGCTACAAAAGAAGAGGTGGGAGAGTCTGGGGTGAGTTTGGCTGCCAGCCCTGTGATGATGTTTTCCATTCTTCAGAAGTCCCATGTTGTAATATAGGAAGAAGTTTTGGCAAAATTTTGAAGATCTATTTGTCTGCTCCAACAATGAGAATAAAGTTCTTGGGACCAAACTTTGTCAGGTCAATAGCTTCATCTATGCATATACTTAGATTGAGTTATTGAATGAACTCAATGGTTTGGATATTATAATATAGATGCTGTCTCGTGTTTCTGTAGGTGGATGAGTTGGTCAATTGATTTTCTGACTTTGTGACTTACCTCCGAGACATCCTGGAGTCACAGTATCCATAGAAAGCACTAGGCTTAGAGGACAAGGCACAAGGAAGCTCACACAGCAGTTTTTGCTTTCTTCTTTGTGTTGTTTACACTATTAGTCATACTTTCAATCTCATACKTGCCATGCTACATCCCAAACATGTAAAAATGCAGTTTTTACATTTTCAGATTTGGAATTTAATAGTCAGCTTTCAAATTAATTGAAGGCTCTGTAGGTCTTTCTTCAAAGTACTCAGARAACCTGTAAGAGCAACAGATCTAATTCCTGATGTTTAGTGGTCTCTTCCAGAAAACTAATATGAAAACTGAAGCCTATTTTTAATGTTGTTAAAATTGCAACTAAATAATTCTAGGTGTACTTTTCTACTACCTTTATCCACTAGGTGACAGTGCAGCTCTTTTACCTTTTAAATTATTATCCATAGGTGGTTTTTTTTAAAGTCATTCTGTACAAACATTTAAGAATGTGCTCTTTCCAACGGAAAAGTATGTCCTCTGCGTGATATTTTTCTGAGACAATTTTTTAGATACTAAGGATTTTTTTTTCAGTATAGTTATTTTAATTAATGAAAATAAAATTCCTTGTCTCTGAGCAAGGTTATTGTTTGGCTTTGGCTGTGAAAGATACTACAGAGTGCCTTAATTGTGGTCTGATAAATATCTGTGGAAAGGCAAATCCTGAAGTTACTGAAATAAAAGATTTTTCAACCTGAAGGTAAGAATTGCAAAAGAATTATACTGTAATTTTAGTAGCGGTCTTTAAGAAGAGAGCTTAAATAAAGTTGCTTTTTAAATAAATAGTTGAATGCACATTGTAGTTAACCCTTTAAAGATTATATTACTGTTTAGATGAGCTTTGCTTGTTAAAGCAATTTAATTAATTACTCACTTGCAGTACTTCCATTATACTGTGCCCTTGGGCTAATTATATGAAAGAAATATATTTTATAATGCAGCTGTCTTTTGCTTTAGAATTTATTTRCTGTTTACTTTCTGCAACTGTTTGAGAAGCCCAAACTGTGGAAAGAAGGGAGAAGATAAAGTTTATAGGACTGCAGTGGCTTGCAAAATTGCGCACACACTGCAGACTGATCCTGCAAACCTTCATTTCACTGGTGCTCKCTACCTCAGTAAAGTTACATCTGAAAGTGCTCTCAGGCTAATTCCCTCAATTGCCCTGTTCAAGATTAAACTTACTATAAAATTAGCTGTGCTAYATATATAACTCTATAAATAATTAAAATTAGTATTGGTGAGGTAAAGAACCTGGAAATATTTCTAAAATATTTCTAAAATCCCGGTGAATATTGAAGAAGCCCTTGAGTATTTATAAAAAACATTTGATAGATATGTTTTTGATAAGTATTTTATTCTTGCTTTGCATACTCTTTAGAATTCATATAACTGCATGTTCATACTAACCACACTGATTCTTAAAAAAGAAYGGAACTTAAATAACTCTTTATATAGAATAACTTTTGTCACTATAGTACTGAATTGTGATATTAAGAGTCTATAAAGTCCTAAATATATACTATAAACAAATTAAATAAGCAAAAGGAATATTGCATCTTAATGCATATTAGTAAAAATGAAATAACTTTCCTGATTTGATAAACTTTCTCACGCATCATCTTGAACATAAACCTTATAAGAGGCCTATTTTGAATATTTAGAAAAATGAATTGTAGTAGCTTACTCATAGAATGTCATACTTTATTTTTTATTTTTTTTCCCCMAAAAAATCCAACGTGATTTACCATACTGATCGCTAGGTGAAATTTTGACAGGATTTATGCTCTAGTTACTAACCTTCTCTTTCCCCCCTTCGCCCCCTCCTACTCCCCCAAAGGTGCAAGTCAGGGTAGAATTTGGCCCATTTATGTTTAATGGCTGAGGAGCGTGTACAGCTTACACATTTAAAATTTATGATAGAGCATTACAAAGGATTGCTTTGTACATTGAGTTAGGATTTCTAGAGACATTAAAAGCTGGGTTATTCCTACACTTCTGGTAAAATGCTGTGGTTCGCTTTCACCTTTGAGACATCACTTTTTATACATGTTGCATATAGCTGTTGTTTGTTTTCTTGTTCCAACGTGGAATATGAATGAGCACTTCATGGAGGGAAAGAAAAGGAAATAAAGAGTAATAAAGACRTTCCATCCTTTTCAGACAGTAAAAATTAAATAGATTTTACCACATAGACAAGTATGTGGCCATTTTATTAATTTTTCATATTAGACATACATCAAAATGTTGTATCCTCTTGCTGCACTGTGTAAGGAGTTCAGTTTCTTTAAAATTAATTTTGCAAGAGTTAAAGAAGAAAACCTGAATTTAGAATTTTAAGCAATCATTCCATAAGAGATATTAATGTTAAACTGAGTTTTTAAATAAGTAAGAGAATGCAGACGAGAGATAAGAGAATGCAGACAAGATGTACTCACAAAATGTTGCTTTTTTGTATGATTAATGTAGGTATCAGAATGGTGACCTCATTTATAACTTTATAGTTAAGAATGTGTAATTTCCACTATAAACTCTTATTGGGGAGTGTTTATGACTGAACTCAGCCATTTAAAAACAAGCTAGAGAAGCTGTAAGGTCTTTATTTGGCAGTGATATTTTTGAAAAAATAGCTCTGCTTTCTTAAGGTGTACAAAAATAGAAGTTGGTGGTTTCAGACACATTTTTGCAAACTTATAAAGCAAAGCCTGTTTCATTTTACAAGATACAACATTTAAAACCACTAGTTCCTAACAAATATTACTGTTAACAAAATGCTATATTAGCTTTTGAAAATAGTTAACTRTCTCTAACTTTGCTCTCCTCTAGCAAAATTTGCTGAGCCACGCCGTCGTTTTAGTTTCTAAGCAGAACTGAAACGACCAGATATTTCTTTTTAAGGCAGACTGGTACAAGATGGGTGCATGCACCAGCATCCTTGGCCTCGTTCTTACCTTCCTCGTATTACCCTAAGGACTTCAGTTAAATTATGTGTGATTTATTGAAATGCAAAGGAAAYGCTAGGTCAGTTGTGCTTTTAGCCRCTGCTTTTGCAAAACAGAATATGCAACAATATCCGTGCTGCTAAAGGCTGCACATCTCTATTTCATGTTTCACATGAAGAATTGACGACTTGATCCCGATTTTGCTACAACCTATAAAAGGTTTTTCATCAGCTTTAGTAGCAGTCTAATCAGGACCTTTGTTCTGATCCCACAAAGATTTATGTGCATATTCCTGTGTGTCCAYTAACTTTGCATAAGCAAATTCACTGCTGATTTGGGGCCGCTGAATTTTAGTACTATTTTTAATTTTGCTTTTTAATGGTTCTGTAATAGATTGTAGTTGCATCAGAGTTGGTATTTTTTAAATATATTCTTAAGGTTATTTTCTCTTTGAAAAAGTGTGGATAAATTTGGAAACGTGCAAAAAAAAATCTTAGTAATAAAATGAATGGGCAGATGGAAGCTGAGGGAGAAAAACCTGTCATTCATACAATATTAAAAATGAAGATTAACAGAATGTTAAAGTAGAATGAAAGATAGTGATTGGCTCTGCACAATCAGTTCAGCTGCAAAACTGATTATTAGAATGACTGGGAACCCTACGGCACTGAAAGTTCTTTATCCTCCTGGCATCACTAGGAGGACAAGAAATATCTCTGGCCCCATTTTACAGCAGAATACTGGCATGCAGAATCCAGTGCCTTGCTTTACAAGAGCTAAATGCATTTGGCTATTTTGGAGACTTGCTGACTGTGACCCCTTGGCCCATAGAGCCTAGGCTAGCAAGTAAGCCATTGCACCATCTGCTAAGCCATAGATGAACAGCTTCTTGTAACCAGCAGGTCACTACCTGAATAATACTGAAAATACTGAATACGTAAAATATTGAAATGTTCTTTTTGCAGCAGAGGCAAGCAAGCAGACTTTTTCTCCCATTTCAAGTAGCAAAAAAAAAAAAAGAACAAAAGTGTGATATCAATTTTAATCTAAGCAATTTATGAAAATACTGTAATTCTCTGTGAATGACATCTTCACTCCTTTCTTCATCGTCCCATGCCTTCTCAGTTTCTTCCTAATAGCATGCTTTAATCTTGCTACCTTTTACCTATGTGGTCTTTGAGTTGTGCAAAGGCAGTCTGAGTTGTGGCTAATTTAGTGCTAATTTGTGGCTAATCTCTAATTGAGATAGAAATGTAGTACAAATAACACCTGTAACTTGTCATTGTGGCTCTTGCCAAACACAATTACTAATCATGTTCCCACTTGTAGTGGAAAAGGGAAGCTGCTGGGAACTATCTTCCCAGCAGCTGATTTGTGCAATACTTAAAGGAATAACGTGTCTTTAAAGCATCTATCAATCTGGTAAACTTACTTGAATTTATCAACAAATTCAAGATTTTTACAGAATCTCTGAGGTTGGAAGGAATCTCTGGAGACCATCAGTCCAACCATCCCACACATTGCTCCCAATGAACCCGGAGCCCAATGAACACAGTCAAGTTTTGAGTATCTCCAAAGACAGAGGCTCCACTACCTTTCTGGGCAACCTGTACCAGTGTTTCACAGTAGGAAAACACTTTCTTCTTTCATCCAAGTAGAATTCTGTGTATTTTATTTTGTGTCTGTGGCCTTTTTTCCTGCCTCTGAGCGGCCCTGAGAAAGAGCCTTGCACAGTCATCTTTACTCTGCTAATCAGTTATTTATTTAGACATATAATATCTGCTGAGCTGTGTATTCAAGGCTAAACAGTCCCAGCTTTCTCATCAGAAGCTCCAGTCCCTTAATCACCTTTGTAGCCCTTTCCTGGACTTGCTCCCAGTGTGTCCATGGCTTTTCCATATTTTTCATGTACAAGATAGTACAGGTCTTTCTGTAACTGTTGTTATAGTTCAGGACTGCAAAATGTGTCTAAAATGTATTTAGCAGTGAAGATTGTTACTGTTTGCACATATCAGTCCAAAAACTAATAGGCAATATTTTAAGAATATATGATTTGATTTTTTAGCTGTATATAAAATATTAAGATGCACAGAAGCCAGAGGAAGAAAAAATGTCCAACGCTGTACAGAACCAACAATACTTTTTTGGACAGATATAAATGAACAAGTTTTTTTTTCTGTAGTTAACAGAGCTATTCATTGTTTCGAGTGTGAATTTGGATAAAAGCATTGGCCATACTGAAGAAAAATGAAGAGCTGTATCCACCTTTCTGACTGTACCTGAATTCTTAATGGTAATTATGTAGTTTCTCTGTACAAATACTAGTTTCTCTTTTTTTTTTTTTTTTTCTTACAAAAGTGCTGTGAGCACATGGTACCACAGACTTTCTAAATGCATCTCTTTGCCACGTTTGTGAGTGCCAAAGTAGGACGTTATTTGAAATGATCTTTGAAAAGCGTTTAATGCTTCCCTGTGGGTTCCATTCTGCTCTGGGAGCACAGCTTCAGTTATCAAAGCCAATTTACACCTGGCAAGTGCCTACAGTGCCATTCTGGAAACCCTTCCATGACAAGAGTATGACACTGCTTTTTGTCGTTTCAGTGTAGATTTGGGCCACAAATGGATTGTGCCCATTTTTAGATTGCTGTTTTTTAGAAGAGCCATGTCCCAGCAACTCATAGTTCAACAAAGTTTTTAGCATCCATATTTGTATTCCATCTTTCAGTTTTCTATTGTTTGGTTAGACAAGAAACGAGTATAG